AATTGGCCAACCTTGGTTATTTTTTTTTTTTTAAATATAGTATGCAACATGCAGTAGTCTATACTGTCAAATGAAAGATAAAATGTCACCTACAGTTAGGGACAACTCTGGGAAACATGAAAATACTCCCTTGTTCCTGCTGAACTGTCAAATGTCGATCCATGTATGGCTGCCCTTAGTAACAGTGATGAGCAAAATTGAGGGTTTCACTTTGACTTCAAGTTTTTTTGTGAACTTTCAGAGCAGTGCATTAGAGTCAATGAGAAACCAAAAACAAAAGAATTTGAGCAACATGGTTTAAATGGCTTTTGAAGATTTTGGAACATATTCATAATATTTTTCCAGCTCTATTTTGTCCATTCATTTGACCTCACAGATCTTAGCCTTGTGACAGTGGTTCGCAGTCCTGCATGATGTAGGCAGCAACTCTCACAGTGACAAAAGGATTCTTTGAAACATGTTGGAAGTAAATAGGTTACATTTCCATTAGAACATTATGTTGGTTTTCGGGCATCTTTAGGAATTTTTGGTAGGGGATATCTTGATAAATGTTTATACCATGTTTGTTGTTGCAGTAGCCGCCACATCCATGTTCTGACAAAGAAATGTGTAGTGCGCTCGCTAGACGATCCTGGTGGTGTATCTAAGCATGGAAGACACTCACCCGATGGTGCTCATTCAGGCGGGTTGGGTTGTTTGTTAGCTTGTCCAGCAGATCCTACTGTCTCATCTTCACTAGTGGACATTCTGAGACCTACTATGATGTCATCTCTTCCCCACTGCTGGATATGGCACGTTCTGATTTTAACATTTAAGTGTGGATGTGTTCTGCTAATAAATAGTTTCTTGCGCTTTGGCAACTTTGTTTCCTTGCATATATTTGGATCTCTCCCCGGTCTGGCGTGCCCTGGAGCTGCAGAATGTGCTTTCCATCTTCTCCAAGTTAAATTGGTCCTGAACTGGTATCTTCCCATGTGAGCCAATGGTCTGTGGACGCCTGTCTTCCACCGTGGACTTGTCTCTTTTCCCTTTCCAAAAGTTCCAAGTGTAAAGGAAATTTCTAATTCTGTAAAAAAATTGTATTCTACTGGTATGCTTCGCCTATGTATTGTACAATGCGCCGATTGTGCATATAGTACTAATAATGTTTTCACTACATTTGCATTCCTTCAAGTCCTGGTTAGCAATTAGCCTGCCCTTGTTACCACAAAAGTACAATTGTAATATTAACGGGATATGTTTTTTTATATATATGTATATATTTATTACACATACATACATACATACATATACAAAACACACTTTTTTTTTTTTTTTTTACTTAAAAAGCCTTATTAAAAAGGAGTGCTTCCAGACTTATAAGCCCCCCACCTGCAAACCCCCACAAGCACAAGGCCAGGATTGTGGGGAAGAAGCCCTTTTCCTCCAAAAAAAGGGTACAAGTATTTCCCCCACCCCATTTTGAGGGTATGTGGTCTGGTATGGTTCAGAAAGGAGGACACACACTTGTTCCCCCTCATTCTTCCCTTGCCAGCCAAGCTGCATGCATGAAGAGAAGGGTCTGGTATGGATTTTTGGGGAACTTTAAAATTTTTTATTGATTTCTGCACAGAGAGTCTCCCTTAAAAGTCATAGTAGACCTGAAGGGCCTGATATGGATTAGGGGAGAACCTTTTCTCACTAACAGAATAAAGCAGCCATGAACTGTCATTTTGCTGACAGTTAAAAGTTAAAAATACTTTATTTCTTCGTAAATGTCAGTTTTGCTGTAGTAGGTTTTATACATGGCACAGATGCACTACTTCACGTTAAAGGAATTTATATTTTTAAACTTTCACTTTAAGCAATGCTAAAATTGCTGCTCCCTGCCAAACAGAGTATTTACAAATTCTTTTTGCTATAGTATATGTCCCCTTCAATAGGGTTCGAATTAGACACCCAATCGTTAATATTCACAGAACCTGCCCCGAATGGAAACCAGGCGCCTTTGGCTCATTACTAGCGTCTACCGTCAAGACAATTGTCACATGGGTGTTGATTTACTAACATTGGAGAGTGCAAAATCTGGTGCAACTCTGCATAGAAACCAATCAGATTCCAGGATTATTTGTCAAAGCTTAATTGAACAAGGTGAAGTTAAAAGCGGATTGGCTGCCAATGCACAGCTGCACCAGATTGTGTACTGTCCAGTTTTAGTAAATCAACCCGATGGTCTCTTCTAAAGTTTGGTCATATTTCTTATTTGCCTACCTTTACAAGAAACAAACAAAAAGTGCCTCAGCATCAGACACCTGGCCCCACCACTAACCATTCATTAATTCATTACCACGATAAACAAAGTAACTTTAATAAAGATATTTATTTTTTTTTCTCATACAACGAATTGTCGCATGAATCCTATGTACAAGTATTATATGCATATACATTTTTTTTTTCTTTAGAAATTAAAAGTTACAATAAAAAGGAGGTCACAGATAAAGAAACCTAAAGTCATGAGGTAAGAAAATGGTGGATTTGTCCAAGAAATTATATCAAAAGACAGCAAAGAAAACCTGTCAAAGAAAGAAACACATAAAAATAAAATACAAATACTGAGACAATAGGCATTTAAAGTGTAAATCGAGTTTTAAAGAAAAAAAACCTTCTGATGTTTCCTTTAACAAGGAGTTCCCCCTTCCAAAGCTTCCTCATTAAACAGCAGCAGGAAGCTGACACTTGCAGGTCTGACATCCATCACTGCCTGAAATAATACAATCCTAGAAAATCAGAACTGAGAAGCAATGCGATGAATGAAAAATGGAATTACACATTTCAGTCCTAGTAAGACCCAGATGCGGAGTTCAAAATGTTGTAGGGATCAAAAGCAAGTATCCACTGCCTCAAAACAAAACAAAAAAAAGTAGAATCTTTTTTTTTAAAGTGTATCCTTCCATTGACAGTCAGACAAAATGCAAACTGTATAGATACTCCTGAGGTCAGCAAGCCACATGGCATGAGGGGTATCATAGGGTATTATGTGCTTCAAAGTTGTATTATTGCTTGCCATTTCAGAAAATGTAAAGGGCGCTTACAAATCTACGCAAATGACCCTTTTTTACTGAACATTACTTACAAATGAGCTCTAGGCTAACAGCTGTATACCCATTTAAACTGACAAAGGGGTGTCATTCTCCTCAGGAAGTCTTGTTATTCACACATCTCTCATTGGATTTCACTTCATAGCTTCTTGCTCACGACACAAAGAACTCGATGACAATTCACAAACCAATTGTTTCTGCTAGCACTCAATCAATAGGTTAGAGATGGGATAAGGGTGCAAGAAGCTGGAAACCTGAAACCAAATATAGGGTACTACCTTGCTGGCTTGTGCAGTAGTGGGTGAATTACAAGACTAGCTGAACAGCATCACAAATCCTTTGACAGGTAAGAATTAAATGAATATATTACAACTGAGTGTTTAACAGGCACACTTGAAATAAGGCAATCCAAATGTGCTGTATGTCACAGGATCCACTACACAAATACCCTCAGCTTGGAAGATCTTTCTGTGCCATAAATGTCTGGCTAGCACACAGGCAAAATTTAGGCAATGGTATAGGCATGCCATGCTAAATTAGAGACCTTTATTATGGCACATCATGGTTTTAAGCACACCTGAAATCATGTCAAAACTACCAACCCACCTTAGACGCCCATGTAATAAAAAGCTGTTCATCAAAATCCTGAGCCACATATTATTTGAAGTGGAGCAGTGAAGAAGCTACTGCTTCTACATTAGCAAGACAATGGTTGCAAAACTAGCATTCAGCCAGATCGGTACAGAAGAGTGTTGCAATCCAAGGCTTCTCACACAAGCAATTGGACTCCAAAAATATTCACTCCAAGATGATGGATTCAGTTTACTTCCGTTTAAGCACTGCAAGTTCCACAGAGCTGGGTGCATTATGGATTTAAAAGTTACCTTCGTGCAAAAACACAGACGGTTATAACAAAAATTGCAGATGGTCATTTATCATTTTCACCAAAAATGGAATTACAGTCTATTTTTTTTTTTTTTTTAAATAAATGATTGATAAGAGTATTGGAAAATATAGATCCTAGTGATAGTAAGTCACTTAAAGGGGCAAGTGCTGAAGCTACGTGACAAGAACTGTGCCAGATTTTCAATGCCAATAAGATCATTTTGGAAACAACTCAAAAAGGTATAAATGTATAACCCCCACAGTCATGAAAAAAAAAAAAAAATTCTGTCATTTCACACTGAAGGCCTATGACAGCGCAGCAGATCCAAAATAAGTAAACGAACCTGTATTTTATAATAAACATAAGTCCTACCTAAGAGTAGGCAACATACTATGCCTGTTACTACTGATAGTAGAATTTCTATGTTACTCTTCGATTTAGTTGCACCTTGTTATAGAAACCCAACTTGATCCAACTTTAAGCCCTGCAAACTGCTATTGCACTCAGCAATATGAGATCAGTAAGACAGAGGCCAATAAGATCACTCATTTGATAATGAAATGGCAATTTGTGGAGATCAGTCAGGTAACAGTAGCAAAGTGAAACCAAATCAAAGGGAAGCACAGAAGCACGCTTTCTGGCTAATAAAGGTTATACCAGGCATTCCATGTTGGCTTGTAGGCAGTATGCTTACGTCTAAATGGTAGATGAACCTCACATTGAGGCAGCAAGAAATTTGATGACATGTATGAAGCTGCTCAAGCAAGCAACCCAGATAGGCCACCAGAAAATACTATCAATATCCAGGTGCTTTGAACAAGAAGGGTACCTATAAAAGAAAAAAAAAATCCATTGTTTTGTCACGGTTGTGTCACAGGCCACAAGAACTAGCATTGTGCAAAGCTTAACTAGGTGCAATTTAATTCAATAGGCCCTCCCCAGCACAATATACCCTCCACATACACACCACCTAAAAACACTATCGCAAAAAGTTCAGGAGTCGGTTCAGTCTGGGAACACAGCACATTAATGATCCCTCATATGTAAATGGGGTGGTACTGCTTGTGTGTCAGTTTCTTTCGGCAAGTCGGACACGAGGTGGCATTTTTAAGGGCATCGCGAAGGCACTGGCTGCAGAATATATGACCGCATTTGGTAGACACAATGAGACGTCCGCTTTGTATAATCTAGGAGAAAATAAGCACAGCATGAACAAAATGTTCCCATGTCATAAATAGAACATGAACCTGACATAATACAGAGCTCATTTCACTATAGACCAGATATCAACCCGAGATCTCCCTTACACTGGATGAGATGGGGAGTGACATTGGTTTTCATTTTTGGGTGGTGCCCAAAGAAGTAATTGGATTCATACACAATTTGTTTTTGCTCTAAAGAATCTAACATGAAAGCAAGGAATTTTATTAGTGTTGGTGGGTTTCAAACACTGGAAGAATAAAGGGCACGTTCTGTTACAGACAAAAGTTTAAAGTGGAACTTTACCCATAACTTGGAAAAAAAAAAAAAAAGTTTTGGTTTTTTTGAGCAAGGAACATACATTTCCATTAATAATTCTGCTACCAAAATTAGTGTGTGCTGTAAATTATCTGCAGCATTGTTCCTGTTTATTCTTGCCAGAGGCTGCCATTTAGCTGAAGCCTAGAGTCCGGAACAGCAGTAAACCTTTAGGCTGTCAGCAGATCGGACTCTACAAATTCAGCATCGTGCCAAAAAAAAAAAAAAAAAAATAGAGAGCAACTGAGCATGTGCAGAGTGAGACAGTGTATGGCCAACACAGTGGCTAAATAGTTAGCACTTCTGCCTGGCAGTACTAGGTTCGTTGGTTCGAATCCCAGCCACGGCACATCCTGCCTGGAGTTTGTACTGCGTAAATCGATGCTCCTATACAAGTACCTGCGATAAATAAATTAGTGGATTTTAAACAGTATAGGCACTTATTTTTAATGTTTTGCATAGCTATATCTGCAAAATAGGCCAACATGAATGATCTAGCAGGACTTTATTTTCTGACTTAAGTTCCACTTTAAGTAAACAAAATCTAATTTTCAGTATAAATAGTAACATACCTCAGTCTACACAGTTTTTCAAATCATATTTTTTTTTAATCTGTTGTTACAAAGTTTACTACCTGGACAGTCTCTCAGTAACAGCAGTTTGGGACCATTGGCACTATTGTGCTGTGGTAACACGAATGGCACTCCAACACGTCTTGCTGACATACATGTGGTGAGGTGAGCAATCAAAAATTCTACATGCACCTTTTGTGTGCGTTGAGTAGCCCATTTAAATCAATAGGCTGCCTTAACCTCCCTAGCGGTATGATTATTTCAGATTTTTGGTGCTGAAAGCGGTACCATTATTTTGCATGGAAATATTTAGTTTTTTTATTGTAAGCTGTAATATTTAGGAATAACTCACTGAAATCTGTCCGAACAAGAGTCTATTAAACATCCCGGGTATGATAAAATTTGAAACACAAAATCATAAATTATAATTTAATAAATAATCATAAAAAATAATAATATAATAATACATTTAATTCAATAATATAATCAAACCAAAAACACTGAAATTTTAAATATAGCGCCAAGTTCGCACATCACTAAGCAAAGTTGCAAAATTGTTTTCAGTGTCTGATGACGAATTTCTCTACGAATCATTATCACTCAATTTTGCAAGTGATTCTGATTTACGATCGCTGTTCTCTAGCTGATCTAAACCTGCTTTTGACCTAAAGGGACGCTTTTTGGACGCCATGGACTTTTCTAAGTTTCCAGGCAGAAAGAACAGTCAAAATGCAGACAGGGCACAGGACAAAGCACTCGGGACAAAATGTATGTGAAATGGTTTGAAACAGCAATGTTTTACTATGTAAAATTCGTTTTGAAAAAAATGACATTTTTTTAAAATTTTCAAATTTCCCGCTGCCGGCGCCTGTACGTCCCGACGTCACAGGGACCGGAACACAAAAGCCGGATGCCGGCATCGGCCAGAGGAGATGGCCAGGGACGCTGCAGGGGGGACAGAGCGGGAGCGAAGGACAAGGTAAGCTCTGCAGGGACTCCCTATGCAGTGCCGCATGGTAAGCCCGAGTGTAGCTCGGGGTTACCGCTTCTGGTACTGACATTTTACCCCGAGCTACACTCGGGAATACCGTTATGGAGGTTAATGCAGTGTGTTTAAAAGGTGCATACACTAATGCAGTGCAATACTATGAATGATGTCAAAACACCAGGTCTGCTGTAAGGTTTCCTCCAGTTGGACATGGAGCAGTTTATCAATTATCCTTGCTTGAACCTTACACTTTAACTGTGCAACCGACATAAAAAATTGCTCTTAATTACTTTTGTACCAAAACCCACAGTGTAAGACAAAATAGGCTGGAACACCTGCTCTAAATACAATCTTCCCTGCTGCCCAGTATCGTCTGGATGTGCACGAAGCTCTATTTTTTTCAGCCAAGCTTCTGACAGCATTCTCCATTTTCCACACTGTCCCTCTGGACATGCACCTGCTTTGTGCAGTTTAGTCGGTCGACTAGTTTGCATGCATGTGCCATTCTACTTGGCCTCGATCACTTCCCATGTCACCCATGGGGCAGGACATCTGCTCACGTCATCATAAAGCAATAAGATCCTACACAACAAGGCCTCTCTTAGTGACGTGACTACTACTAATGCCCAGATTATTAATGCCTGATGACAAATATCGCAAGAAACCCCCTTCCTAAACATCACTAAGAATCAGGCACCCAGTGGAACCCTTTTTCAAGCAGAAAAAAAAAAAAAAAAAAGCGCGGGATTTGTGGACACAAAAAAACTTACCTCTGAATACCCATCCATGCAAATAGGACAACTAACATTTCCTGCACTCGATCTGGAAAAAACAAATAAACAAGGCAATGTTAGACAAACATACTTAACTACAAATTTCTCATCATGGAATACAGTACAGAACACAGGGCCTGTATTCATAGATCATGGTTACATGCAAGCTACCTTTAGATTATTGGACACTAGTAAAAATCTTGCTAGGGCCTCCCCTAATGCATGCTCATATAACCTCACCCACTCCATGAGACTCCAGTTTTTATGCAAGCAATGCAAGGAGTGACCACAGACAGCTGGGATGGGCCTGTGTCCTGTACTATGCTCTACGATAAAGAATTTCCGATTAAAATAGGAATTTTGATTTACCTGTACAGTGCAGGCCACAGTGAATGACCCAAAAGTGATAAACCGAGGGGGGAGGGTACCAACATAGCAAACTGCCAATAGGCCTAAAAAAAAAAACGGGTTAAAACAGACTGTCAAACTATAACTATTCATTAAAATGCCCCCTCATTCTACCTGCCTTACGTAAAAAAAAAAAACCCAAAAACTGTAAACTGTATACCTTTTTTCAGTCTGCTCTGGTCTGGTCACATGATCCCAAAGCTCCGACTCACCTCTGTCAGGGAACACTAGAGAACAGCTTGGAATTCATGACGCGGTGACGTCAGCTAGAGGCTCCCATAGCTCAGCCATTGTCAACGTTCTCTCCTCTCTCTTGTAGCCAGTCACTCACTGAGTAAGGGGAAGGAAAAGCTGTGGGACCATGTGACTGGACAAAAAGTAACTATACAGATCTTTTTTACACAGAATAGGCAGCAAGGTAGTAAAAGGGGGTAGGGGACATTTCTATGAAGCCTTGGTAGTAGCCACAGGAATAGAGGACTTTCCTTGTGGGGTAAAAGCACTATTTCTCCAGTGACCTTCTTGATGAATTCATCGAGGGATTCCCGAAATAGGCCTTCACAGTCAAGAGGAAAGTGTATAAGGGCCCCTTATAAGCAGGTTCAGCAGACCAAGTATATGCAGATGTACAAAAGTATGTGACTAACCACTTGCCCTCCTGAGGATTTGCCCTCCTGGGGATTTACCCCCCTTCCTGACCAGGCCATTTTTTGCGATACAGCGCTGCGTTATTTTAACTGACAATTGCGCGGTCATGTACCCAAATTAAATTTACTTCTTCCCCCACCACAAAAAGAGCTTTCTTTTGGTGGGATTTGATCACCGGTGCATTTTTACTTTTTTGCACTAAAAAAAAAAAAAAAAAAAAAAAAAAAAAAAAAGACAATTTTGAGGGAAAAAAAAATTATATTTTTTACTTTTTGCTATTAAATTAATTTAAAAAAAATAAAATAATTTCATTATAAATTTAGGCCAAAATGTATATTCTGTTATATGTCTTTGCTACAAAAAAATCCCAATATATGTAAATTAACTGGTTTACGTGAAAGTTAGAGCATTTACAAATGGCTGTACATATACAGTACACTAGAATTTTTTTTTTCTTCTAATAGTAATGGCGGCGATCAGCGATTTATAGTGGGACTGTAGAGGGCATTCTGACACTGGGGGGGAGGGACTGACTTGGTGTCATGGATATCCCCAGTGACACCAATACAGCGATCAGTGCTAATAAAAAGCATCAACACTTTACTAATGGCACTGGGCAGGAAGGGGATAACATGGGGTGCGATCACAGGGTTAACTGTGTGCTCTATGCAGTTTTACTGTGTGCTCCACTGTAAGCACACTGCTTTGTATGGCTCTGCTATGCAGAGCCATACAAAGCAGTGTGCAGGAGCTGACAGGGAAGAGATCTGTATTGTTTACATACAGGTCTCTCCCCCATCAGAAATCCTCAGAGATCCCTGGGGAATCACCGGCCGGGACCCGGTGATTGACAGCCTACCCAGAACTGCAATATCACGTATATATACACGTGATTTTGTGCAACCGTGCCACCCTGTAACAGTATTTCTGCTCTAGGGCAGAATGAAAGTGGTTAAAGAGATAAGAGACACACATTCTAGAAACTTGCTGCATTACATTCTCTACATCTGCATTCATTCTAATGTAGACCATACATGGGTCGAATTCCGAACAAATTTTCTTTAGAAAAAAATCAGAAATTGTGTGTTTTGTAATCAGATGATGCCACCATTGATTTAGAAATTAATCCAACCAAGTATTCAATTTTGCCTCATGTTGCTACAGAAAAAAATGTATGTCTATGTATGTGTTGGGTAGACTGAGAATTGATATATCTATTGGAGTTCCATCGGTAACGTGGTCTGCACAAGAAGCAAACAATCTACTTGTCAAAATTCAGAATTATTTTGGGTGGAAATTGTCACTAAACAGCGCCTAAAGTATAATTCCAGGATGCCACCAAAATGTTTTAAAATATTGTCCCTCTCCCTCATAACACCTTTGCTGACTAATCTGTGTAAGAAAGACGTACACACTTGCCTATTTTCAGCATGCTCACGTCACATGATCTCCTAAGTTAGCCAGCAGCAGCTGCAGGGCAGATGATAGAGCACTCAACTCAATGCAAGTCCCACCTGAAAATGCAAAAAATTGTGCAGAAACCTTTTCCTAAAATCGGTGTGGCACTGCAAAGTGAGTCCCACCAATTTGAATGGTTCCATTGCCAACAATATGGTGCGACTTGTCAAAATCGCATGACAAGTTGCAAAATCTTTTAAATTCTTAAATTGTAACACACATATATATATATATATATATATATATATATATATATATATATATATATATATATATATATATATATATATATGTTACATCTTCTGTCTGTAAATATTCATACTGCACCCTTTTAACCTTTTGGTAATAAATCTTACTTTTTGTAAGTGTTGAATTGTTTCTACAGCTCCTAATTGCAATTTATGAATCCCTGCCTCTAAAAAGAAAGCTATGAGTGTTTAACCCTCTGTATAACCGGTCTGTAGAGATAGCGGTATACAGTCGATTAACCAATCATCCTAGTGTATTGCTGAGTTTCCGCTTTCTCTGTATAAAAAGGAGGTGGTGGCAGTGTGAAGGGTTAATTGCGTAATTAACCCGACCCAGTAACAAGCACATTCAAGCTGCCGGTACATCAATCCGTGGTCCATTAGCTGGAAAATCGTTGTGCAGGGTGCAGCTGGGTGTGGCATTGTTACGCAAGTGACAGCGCGGTTTTAGATTGGCTAGTCCTTCGGTTACGAGTTTGGTGAGAAGGGCTGGGGTCTGACGCCGCAACCGTCACAATGCCGACTTAGGAAGTCCGCTAAGGAATTCTGCACCCCCTTCAAATGGATGGCAGATATTGAACACAAGTTTCGCTCGACCCAAGACAGTATGATGTCCGTGGTCGCTGTGAGAGGAGGACTTCTTGTACCTCCATTTGTTAATGTATGCCACCGTAGTCATATTGTCCGAACGGATCTGCAGATGTCGGTCTATAAGATCTGCTTGAAAGGCATCCAGCGCTCACTGGACTGCTAGGAGCTCCCTCTGCTTCGAGGATCTCCAAGCTTCCTCCAAGGACCACAACCCCTGGGTTGCTCCCCATCCAAAGCTACTGGCCCTGGTCGTGATAACCGGATATGGTGTGGTCCACTTAAGACCCCTGGCTAGATTGTATTGTCTTTGCCATCACCAAAAGGGATCTCTTGATTCTGGATGGAAGTAGGACTAGAAGCTCCAGTGCAGACCTGTCCCCGTTCCAAACCCGCAGGAGAAAATAATGCAATGGGAGCTGATAGAACCCTCGCCCAGGGGACAGCTGGGAAGAATGTCATGAGACCTACTGCCCTCATATCCCTTAATGGACAAACTGATCTGCAGCTCCACCAGCACCGTATCTATTTTGAGAATCTTCTCCCGTGGAAGGAAGATCTTTCTTTCTACCGAGGAAATCTCATACCCAAGATAGGTGACTCTCTGGGAGGGAGCTAAAACAAGACGTCTCTTTTATGAGCCACCCCATACTCTGAAGGAAGTCCTGGGCAATCCGCAGATCATCTGTCAACTGTTGAGGGACCAGGCCATGAAGAGGAGATCGTCCAGATAGGGAATGATCGTAATACACCTCAATCTTAGGGGTGCCAAGGCATCCGCAAGCACCTTTGTAAAAATTCTTGGTGCTGAGGCCAGACCAAAAGGCAGGGCCCAACACTGCCAGTGGTGAATCTCTGTAGCAATCCTTACCATTATCCTTAGGTATTTCTGACACACAAGCTGTATGGGGATGTGAAGATACGCATCCCTCAGATCTAGAGTAGCAATGAAACAATCTGAGTAAAGGATGTTTCTTACAGAGAAGATTGATTCCATCCTGAAGTATTTGTATCTTAAAGACTGATTGCAAGGGCACAGGTTTAAGAAAAGGCGAAAATTGGCAGAGGGCTTTTTTGCCATGAAAACATGGGAATAAGATTCCAACCCCTCCTTGTTCCAGGGAACCTGAGTAAGGACCCACTGATCCACCAGATCTCCAATCAGGCCACATAGAGCCTGCGCCTTCTCCTGAAATTTGGAAAGGTTGATTATCAGATACTTGGCGGGGGGGGGGGGGGGGGGGGGGGAGGGGGGGGGGGGTGGGGAGGGGGGGGGGGGGGGGGGGGGGGGTGTTGAACGCCAACCTGTACCCCTTTGCTATCAAGTCCAGGGTGTACAGGTTCGATGAGATTGAAGCCCACTGAGGGAGAAAAGTCCCCACTCTTCCTCCCACTGAGACGCTTGAGTCATGGAGACTTGGCAGGGCCCTGAGGAGAACAAGATACCCCCCTTACCCTTGTTCTTGTGCCCTGTCCATTGCTTCTTGGGCTGCACATCCCTGCTTTGCTCGACCTGCATTTTCTGACGAAAAACCCTCTCGGAGTAAGATCTCTTCTTACGCTCTGGAAATGCCCTGTTTATAGGCTATACGCGCCAAGGCCTCATTGTGACCTGGACCGAAAAGGTTATCGCCTGAAAAGGGTAAGGCAAAGGCGTAGTTTGGACTGAGTCCCCTGCCCAGGTCTACAACCATAATTGCCCTTCTAGCTGAATTCACCAGGGCAGATGTTCTTGCGGCTAGTTTGACTGATTCGGCCAAGACATCAGCGAGAAAACCTACCGTTCTTAACAGCAAAGAAAAGGACTTTAGTATTTGCTGTCTGGAGGTCCCTGCCGAAAGATGCATTTGTAACTGGGTAAGCCAGCATTCCATATTTCTGGCGACACAGGTGGCCAATAAAGCCGGTTTGATGCGGTTAAGAGGTAGAATCCCAAGCCCTTCGAAGCAAAATCTCTCCTCTCTTATCCATAGAATCTCTTATAGCCCCCATATCTTCAAATGCTAGGTCCTTTTTCTTAGAGACTTTAGAAAAGGGGGCATCCAACTTTGGAACCTTAAAAATAGGAAGTGAAGCGCTGCACTTCCTATTTTTACAATTCTATGAAGGTTTATTTTGATTACCTTTAATGCCACAGTTGCTATTTCAGAGCGCTCACTTTGCCATATTATAACTTTGGAACCTTGTTCCATGGCTGGGATCAGTTTTCCTCAAAACAGAAATCTCCTTTTAAGACTACCAGAGAAAAAAGGGCTTTCTTTCGGGGTTCTCCCATTTCAGCTTAATGGTATCAACCAGGGAATTATGGACCGGAAAGACCCTAGCCTTTTTAACATGCAAACCTGATACATGATGTCATGCTTACACAGACATATGTCCTCCTCAATCTCAAAGGTTTCATAGATAGCCTTAAGGAGGTCATCTACCTCATAAAGGGCCAACTTGTACCTGGAACCCCTGGAGGAGCCACCTTCTCCGTCATCCTCCTCTTAGCCAGACCCTGCTTGGGAAGAGGCAAGGGACCTAGGATCCTCCTCCGGGTCCTCCAGCTTAAAGTCTCTGATACTGCAGTACCCGCAGACTGGGTCCAAGACCCTAGCGGCGTCCGCATTCTATCTAGCAAGGATCTAAATTAAATGTAGTCGTCATGTCATACTTAATGGAGAACCTTATGGCAGGCTGTAAATGACTCATCCTAAACCAAACTATCCGCACAATTGCGGTATAAGGGCTTTTCCCAAACTGAACCCAATTTTGCCACACAAACTGCACACTTCCTTTTGGGGGCCTGATTCTATGTCTTGTCCTGGACTTAAACCTACAATAAGCAGAAACACAATACAGGAGACAATTAGCCCAGGCTCCCTATCCCACACACCACTGTGCTGGGGGAGAAACCAAAAGTGTGCCCCACCAACACCTGGATTCAGACTGGGAAGAAGATCACCTCCAGAAGTCAGCAAGAGGGAACCAGCAAATCCCCAAGCCTACCTGAGAGGAGCCAATGCCTGAGGAACCAGGGTGCGCCTGCTGGGGGGCAGCATCCTCCATCATGTTCCTATGGTGTGGTAGCCACAGCCTCTAATTGGTCTCTTCACCCTGCACCAGCCGCCCGAGCACTGCTGCCTGTGCCATCCACGGAGATCGGGATGGTTTAACCAGCTTGGAACGCACAGCTCTGCCCCCTAGAAGTTGCAGCCGCCTGCCCGGCAGTAAGAACAACGGATTCTGCCAGTCCCTACTGGCGGTGACGCTGGACATCTCAGCGGTCTTTCCCTCTGAGGACTGGAAGGCAACAGTAGGGCAGTCCCACTCCTCTCTGAGATGGAGGGATCGCGCTGGGCAAGCAGGAGGTACATACCTAGATAGGAGCCTACCAGCACCACACTTGAGACTAGGGCTCCTACACAGGTTCCAAAAAGTGCAACCTGTCCTTCCGGAGGAAACACAAATACTGAAGAAGACCTGGAGGTCCACCTTTTAAGGTTCTGGGCTTATGCGTTTCCTGTCCCGGACGGAGGAGCTCAACGTCTCAAGGGGCTGTCCTGGAAGACGTTTTTGAGAAAAAATTATTGGTTGCTATAGGCAAGAGAGGGGAATCAATCTTATTTCCCCACATACAGCAGTTAAATTGGTCCTTTGAATGGCTAAACGTTCCCAACCTGGATCTGTTGTATGAAGTAGTTAAGTCACTGGATCTACTGCCACTGAGATAAACGTCATTATTTCTTGAATCTTCATCGTCACTGCTTAATATACAGCTTGAAACCAGCGAGGACCCCCGGCCTGCATTTCCTCTTTGGCCTTGGTGCTCTGCATACAAGGAAAATTGCAGCATTAATTGATAGATTAATTTTTAGAACTCTTCCATTACAGCCCTGGCTAAATGATGCCTTCCATCGCTAGTGAGGGAAAAGGCCCGAACCACACAGACATGTTAAAAGTCCCATCTCCACCCTTCCCCAGATTTTCAGTGCAACATTCTGAAAAATTACAAACTTACAAAGGCCAAAACGTTTTGTTCTGTCATTGAGAAGCTATGGATATCCTATTTTTGCATGCAAGGATACCTTTTTCACTTCTTCCTCTATAGCAGCCCTGAGACAAACTGATCAGCCCTAACTTTATGACCTACTAATATTAAGTAGGTCTCCCTTTTGCCAACCAAAACAACCCTGACCAATTAAGGCATGGGTGCCACTAGACCTCTGAAGGTATGCTGTGTTATCTGGTACCAAGCCATCTGTATCAGATCCTTTAAGTCCTGTAAGTTGGGAGATGGGGCCTCCATGGATCAGACTTGCTTTTCCAAAATATCCCACAGATGCTCAATTGAATTGAGATCTGGAGAATTTTGGAGCCCAAGTCAACACCTCAAAGACCTTGTTGTGTTCCTCAAACAACTATTTTTGGCAGTGTGGCAGGGTCCTGCTGAAAGAGGCCACTGCCATCAGTTTCCATGAAGGAGGTTACTTGGTCAGCAACAATGTTTAAGTAAGTGGTATGTGTAAAGGAACATTGGCATGAATAGCAGGACCCAAGGTTTCCTAGCAGAAAATTGCTAAAAGCATCACACTGCCTCTGCAAGCTTGCCTCCTTGATTGCATCCTGGTGCAATCTCTTTCAGGCAACACCCCCCAACCTTCCACATGATCACATAATGTATAGAAAAAATGTGATTCATCGAACCAGCCCACCTCTGTGATCCAGGTCTGGATGCTCACAAGCCATTATAGGCATTTTGGTTGAGGACATGGGTCAGCATGGGCACCTTGAAAAGTTTGCGGCTACGCTGCCCCATATACAACCAGCTGTGATGCCCATTTTTTCTGCTTTGAACACATCAGTATCAGGGAAGACATGTTTTCGAGGTGCCTAATATATCCTACTGACTTTCAGATGCCATTGTAACCTGGTAATCAAGATTATTCACTTAACCCATTAGTGGTAATACAGTTATAGCTGATTAGTGTACATTTTCCTTAGTATTGGCTCAACTGCAGAAGGTTCCTCATTTTATCCCTACAGAATATGTAGCTCCCTGGCAGTGGGGAGTAAATCCACACCGCATTTCAGGTCTATGCAGGGGCCTACTTGACAGGAGGGGGAATGAGGGAACCCATACAGGTACTATTTAAATTTTAATTTAACCACTAGCCTACAAGGCACTTATACCCCCTTCCTGCCCAGGCCAATTTGCAGCGCTGTCACACTTTGAATGACAATTGCGCGGTCATGCAACACTGTACCCATATGACATTATCATTTTTTTTGTGACAGATAGAGCTTTATTTTGGTGGTATTAAATCACCTCTGGGACTTTTATTATTTCTTAAACAAACCAAAAACCACTGAAAATTTAAAAAAAAAAAAAAAAAAAGGCTGCAGTGATGGACCCTGATAGGTGGCACTGATGAGGAGGCACTGGTAGGTGGCACTGATGCGCATTGACAGGCATCACTGATGGGCACTGAAAGGCAGCACTGATATGGCACTGATAGGCGGCACTGACTGGCACTGATAGGCGGCACTGACTGGCACTGATGGGTGACACTGAAAGGCAGCTCAGATGGGCACTTATGTGGCATTGATGTGCACTGGTAGGCACGGATATGTGGCATTGATGGGCACTGGCAGGTGGCATGGATGAGCACTGATGGACACTGACAGGTGGCACTGCTGGGGCTACACTGATCATCAGTGTACACGTCCCCTCCGAGGAATGCCGTTTACCGGCTCTCCTCTCGAGCTGTCAGCGTGACAGCTCGTGAGGAGAGAAATGTCGATAATCGGCATTTCCCTGTTTACATGTGATCAGCTGTGATTGGACACAGCTGATCACATGACCGAGCTGACATCTTCGGCTCTTTCCGTGGATCGGTGATCCGCTGTGTCCGAGGGACACAGTGCACAGATCACCTCGCTGCGCGCTCCCGGAGTCGCACATGTACGGTGAGAATGGGAGGACGTCATATGACGTCCTCCCAGAACGAGAGAATAGCCTTGCACCCGTCACTGGACTATATGGCGGGTGGGAGGTGGTTAAAGTGTATGTTAAGTCCAAACTTTGCTTTTGATTTTGAAAAAAAGAGTAGAGAAAGATTTAAAGTGAAACTCCACCCAAAAAGGGAAGTTCCGTTTTAGGGCCTCCTCCCCTGCTCCTCTTTGACATCTCAATTTATTGGGGGGAGGGGGCAGTGGGTACCTGGTTTTGACCGGTACCTGATTCCACTCTTTCCCCCCCCCCCCCGCAGTCCTCTGGGACATGTCACAGGTCCCAGAAGACTGCGGGACCATTCACAATGCACAGCGTGGCTCAGGCATGAGCAGTGGTCACCAGACTGAAGCTGCAAGCTTTCACAGCTGAGTGCCCAGAGTTAATATGCCAGTGTAGAGGACCAAAACACTGGTCTCCGGGACCTCTCGGGTGAGCACATTGCTGAATCCTGGTACAGGTAATGGCCTGACTCTTAAAATTAAAAGTCGGCAGCTACAAAAAAACTGCAGCTGCTGTCTTAAGAAAAAGAACTTGAGCTCCTCTAAGCTCCATTCACATAAGCACATCTCCAAAGTTATGCAATTTCCAGTGTGACTTTGATGCGACCTGTGGTGCAACTTAACATTCACTGGGCTAAAGTCATATCAAAAGTCGTACCAAAGAAGTGCAGGAACTACTTTCAAGTTGCTGCAACTTGAAGTCGCACAGATTTGAAGGTACTCATTGGGAAACATGGGCTGTGACTTGTCATACTCTGGACCCCAAAATCGCATGGCAAGTCGCACAAGTGTTGAATGGATTCTTATCCCATTTGAGAGTTTTCCAGAAAAGAAAAAAAATCCCCCAACGGATACCTGAAAAGGTATCCCAATTGGAAAATGTCTGCTAAGTTACTGTTCCTTGTGACAACTGAATTTTGAATGTTCCATCTGTTCCTTACAAGACATAACACATAAGGGGCAAAAATACTTTAAAGCTAGGGCTTGGACGCAAGCAGCAGGACAACCAGCCACTGCAAACAGCCACCCACACTCCATTTACTGACAACACATTCTCCAGTATCAATACATTTTAACAAAATAAAAAGGGTAGTACAAACTAGTGAACATTACAATTCCAAACAGTTCATCGCCAATATAAAGAACACAGCTTCAAGTCACTGTAATCGTTTAAGTACAGATTCAAAAGGACATCGGGCACTTATAAATGAGAATGTGTTGCTGGACTTGGCCATACACATAAAAGTTTGTCAGTGAAATCTAGCCAGGTCCTCATCCATGCTGTATTTGTCAGTTTTGTTGGTGGAATAGTGTATTCTGTAAATACAGTCAACATTCCCGGGTCTATACATGCAGGATCACGTTTAGTGTGTATTCTGCAGTTTAAAGTCTATTCATACCGTAAGAAACGTGTTGCCTTCAGCCTCTGTTCCTAAATGTCTTGTGGGGTTATGAAATGGGATCTTATTAGTGTGATGCTTAGGATTAAAAATTGAATGATGATAATACGCAGCACAAGACAGCTTGCTTAGGGGGGCAGGTAATATTCACCGAGTATCTACAATTTTGGTTTAAGAACAAGGCAGGGGTTCAGGGACAAAGCCCGAAAGTATGAAGGTGATATGTGATAAGTGAAAAATCAAGCAGTGAGAAGTAATACAAGGAAACCAAAGTAAACTCACCTTCAACGATCTGGTAAAATGTAGAAAATAAGGAGGAGGGAGAAAAATAAAACAACACTGTTAAATCTAAAATAAACAATAGCAATAATACCACAATAGAAATATGAATAAACACAAGCAGAGATTTGCATACTGTCACACTGCTAAGTGCAGCTGTAACGGAACTAGCTTGTAAACAATCTTGGGTATATGAACTTTGCCCCTATTAAAAAAAAAAAAAAAAAAATCATTTAACTGTCATGGGTGTATCTCACAAACCAGGTTTCTTCACCCTCTGTCCGTATAATCTGCAGCGACCTTTGTAAATGATAAATATGTTGTAACATTGGTAGAATGTATTTACACTAAATCACTTTTGGCAGAGGGACATGCAATGCCTCTTCTGAAATAAACCTCCCTGCCTACCCGCGGTCCTCTCTACAATGTACAATGAACTGCACATATGCAGCTCAGTGTACGTTTTCGGCAGTGCTATTGTGCAGCGATGAGTAACTCAGGAGTTATATTATCCCATGCTGGCCAAGCAAGACAGCCAAAGACTGGCACACGGAAGAATATGGGGAGAGGATGCCAGTGCTAGCAAGGGACGTTGGAGAGGAAGCAAATATCTGAAACTTTAAATTTCCCTTTAAGACCCAACAAATGGCAGCTCTTGGAGAATATCAAAATGCCTGCCAAATAACCCCTCTTTGCAGCCCATGGGAAAACAGCGCTATATAAATACAATTGATAAAATTAGAGGGGTAGAAGTATGAACTCATGCAAACTTACCACCACAGAGTCATTGTGGGTTAGGTCGACAACAGAAGACTCATAGGATTCACAAGTCAAATCCACAACTTCTTCCACTGCACACATACACAAAAAGAATTACTGTAGAAGGAACAACTTTCTTTTTTTTTGCTACTAAAACAGCAGAACATAAACTAGATTTTCTAGTCAGAGAAAATAATTTCTCTATCCCATAGCAATCAAACTACTTGATCTTTCATCAGTTCACAGCACAGTCAGAGTAATTAAAAGGAGGTGTATACCATATATTCTAGTATACACAGGAGATTAGCACACTGTGGCAGACTTACCTGTCAAACCAGCCCTGCAACACTGTGCTATCACCGCTCCAGTGGGTCCCATGTTCTTCCATCCTCACTCTCTCTGGCTGCTTGAATGGTCACTTCATGGCACAGAACAAGTATTGTTAATGTGGTCCGAGCTGTGCATGCATGGCTCAGATCACATTACTGCTGGGAGAGGCGTTTTGGTTATAAAAACCCTGACTGCCAGTGGCATTTCAAATTTGGACTTTAAATACCACTTTAAATCATAGCTATATATTGCAAATTGCATACCCTAACAAACCCACCATTTTGCCTCATTTGGAGAGGTTCCCTTTCACTTCCTGTTGTGCCTCCAAAAACAGAAAGAGAAAAGAAACCACTTCACCAACGGGATGCAGAGCGGAAAAAAAAAAGCAATATAAAAAGCACTATACTGTACATTAGGATTTATTAAAACATTTATAACAAAAAAAACAAAAAAGACACACATACACAAAGAGCAAATCAATAGGACTACTGTAGATTTTGATAAGCAAATGGGAAAAACTTCCCGGCAAATTTTTTTTTTCTTTCCTTAAAGTGCAGTCTCTGCTTTTTAAAAGCAAACAGATGATTTTCCAGTTCCATACAACGCAAAATATTTAAAGCCCAATTTCACCTTTTGTAAATAAAATAAATGCACATCTTTTTGCAGGTAAAAAAAAGTGTATTTATTATTTTTTTACTCTGCAGTCTGTAAAGCATTGCACTCGCAGTCAGCAGATTATAGGTGCAATGCCAGGAACCCACAGACAGCTGTCTGCCCATACCTCCAGGTCGGGCAGGCACTTACTCAATTGGCAGGAAGAATCAATGAACCAAGCTGGCGGGACATGTAGTTCATTCATTCACAGCAGGGGAGAGAAGGTGCATGAGCTGGAACACATTACATGGTAATATGATATGTAACTTGTTCCAAAGATGTACTTATCCTTTAAATAAAATGTAATTATAAGCACGTTTCAGAAATAATTGACAGTTTTCTTGAATGTCAATACATACCACTTTCTTCCAGTTCTATCAGATCTGAAACTGCTGTCATCGCACTGGTTGAAGTTTGCCCTCTTCTTCTCTTGTGTGAAGATCTGTTTTTTGTTGATCCTCTACGCTTTCTCTGGGCCTAGAACAGGAGGAAGGAATGCATAAAGAAACCAGAACAGGTTGTAGTCATTATAAAGCGAATACATAGTCTTTAAAAAGTGTTCATGTTTCTTTAATACAAGTAAAAAATCTTGTACACAGCTTGCATTGTCTGATTGGCTAACAAGAGAGCTCAGCACAGTTTGCTAGATCAGGTCCAATTGGAAAAATGTATTTAAAAAAAATAAAATAAAAAAAATAATAATAATATAATAATAAATATAGCACATACACAACAAACACGTTGTTGTTTTTTTTTTTTTTTTTATATAGGAAGGTATACAAAATACCCCCATTTTCACCCTCTGCCCAAAGTTGAAAAAAATTCTTCAGGCAGATCTATCATTTATAGCATAAACAGCCTTACACAACACATAGATCGCCTGTTGTAACAGTACCACCTTACATTAGAGATTCTATACATCTTCTAGAGATCCACCAGGGCTACAAATGAGAAGAGTCTCATTTGTGGGTGTCCTTGGATGCGTGCTCATTGTATAGATCTACACACCGGATAGGCCTTGCCACCTTAAATCATCTTACTAAAAATTCAAAGCTAAATTACAGGCGAGCGCAATTCACCAAAGTCAGTATGAAGTTTAGAAAATTATAAAATTTGCCTTGATCAGTACTGCAAACAGATACAGGGCACAATTATGGAAGCTAATTATATCCATATAGGAGTTTCACAAAAGCATACTGAGAGGTTTTCCACATTTGAATTTTTTTTTTTTTTTTTTTTAACTAATAGTATTTTATGTTTGTGTCATTGGGGAAGGGGGGGGGGGTGATTGTATTTACATAATAAAAATTGCCATCACCCCAAGTTAGGAACATACCTAGAAGTCAGCTTTGTCTGCACAGTTGTCCTGTACCTGGGTGCAGTCCTCTCAAACAAGAAAGCTTAGCAGTGAAACAAATTATATGAGAAGTGTTATTCAGTAGATGCTGTTGAAGAACATTACTCCCAATACCTACAAACTTCGAATCAGGAAAAAAAAAAAAAAAAAAAAAAAAAAACAACTTTGCGCCCTCTAGAAGAACACACCTACTTTTGTTCAGCCATCACCCAGGATAGGTATCTACTTTCTGGATCGAGATGTGGCATAGACATATTAATGTAAATTGTGGCGGTTGTGCAATTTTGTGTTCACCATTGTCGGACACAGATCAGTCCCTGCTGAGACCACTCACTTTGTGACAAAGTTACAGCACTGCAGTCTAATCACTTAAGTTGCAGAGAATGAGCAAATATTTTTTAAATATTGATTGATAGCATCTCAACCTAAGCAAAATCAGTTGTCTGGGGATCAAGGACTTGTTTTAGGTATGACTCTGGGTGAATTGATACTCAGCACAACTGCCTGGAAAGTAGCATTTTAAGAAATCAGCAGTAACAGTCCCCATACTTCTCCAATGACAGGTTTACTTTTACACACCATATTTGCCTTCTATATAGTAAGAGGCTACAATAGCCAGTAACTACAAAAAAAAAAAAAAAAAAAAAAAAAAAAAAAAAACACACACACCACAAAACAACAAGTACAGGTATGGAGTTGGCCTTCAGTAATGAAGCTAGACAGGGGCAGAAGAGACATTCTGCTTTTCTAAAAAAGAAGGGAAAGTTTTTGAGATGTCCCCAAAGCAAGAGGTGAGGGGAATCTTCCAACGTGGACATCTGTTCCAGGGACAACTGCCACACCTCACCACACACAGAGACCAAAAGATAAACTGGCAATGGGTTTAACCTTACCCTACTCTACCCAAAAAACTTAAAGTGGTTCCAAAGTCTAAACGTTTTCTTTACCTTAATGCATTCTCTGCATTAAGGTAAAAAAAAAAAAACATTAAAAAAAAAAAAAAAAAAACAACCTTTTCCACTGTGTTACCCCTTCCTAACACATACCCGACGCCTCTATCAATCCAGAGCTGTTGCTGGATGCAGGTCTTCCCTTCCTCTGACAACAGCAGGAGCCACTGGCTCTTGCGGCTGTCAATCAAATGCAGTGAGCAGGGCCAGGCTGCACTGTGTGTATCTATGGGCTCCAGAGCAAGCCCGCACATCTTCCCCCATTGCAAGTGGCTTACTATGGGGGGGTAGATACAGAGAAAAAAAAAGCCAAGATCACCGGCGGGGGACCCCAGACGAGGAGATAAAAGGGCAGCTCTGTGCAATAGCATTGAGCACACCAATTATAAACCTGTTCATTTTATAAAAAGTCAAAATTCACAATCACTTGCCACACCTAGGCAGGTTAGAACGTAACACGTTATGTTTGAATTAATTTTCCTTAATTAAATTTAGAGCTGAGTGGGCATTACAAATATAAGAAAAAAAAAAACAAACAAAAATGCACACAGGTGTTGTCAGTGCGCCCTTCTTATAAGCACCGGATACCTGTTTTGCTGGAGTTGAGAAGAGACCAGCAGCAGCCATTGTGATTGGCCATCACTGCAAACACAAGGCGCAGAGTTATTCTCATTGGCTCTCTGATTTTTGCCTGTGATCTGTGCTGTCTAATGACAGACGATCAAAGGGCCCACTGAGCGACCATCTGTTTTTTTCTGTAATGAAGTTCACCTCTGCGCCATTTTTATACTATAGCATTCTTGGGATGGTAAAAGAACCCTTGCTATCTTTTGTGAGAAGCGCAACACACACACACACACACACACACACACACACACACACACACACACGTGGCTGTGACTTCGACCAATATAGGACATGCAGTGCATAGCAAACCCCTTGGATCCATGTGCAGGTGTAACCACAGTGCATTAAAGAACTGATATGTTTCCACATACCCCCATCTTATTCAGAAAAGTGATAAAGACACACTATCATATACTTACACTATTCATGACCAGCGTTGAATAGGAAATTAGATATAAAAAGTGAAGAAAACACCAGAGAGTGCAGAGTGAGAAGTCAGCTTCTTAAAGTGTGTTGGTGCCCATGTCATAGCAAGCATTACAGTTAAGATTCCAGATTCTTACAGGCTTGCTCTTCAGAACCTACAGAGAAGCACAAGAAGAAGGGAGGAATGAAGAAGATGTTATCCAACTCACGCAGACATTTCAATGCTATAAAATATTTAAAACCCGTCATGAAAAACAGAGTGCGCTAGCTGACTTCCCCCTAAAAATGCTAGTTGCCTAGCTGTAAGGCAGACTGGTATAAACAATCCAGTCACTGACTGGAATGCACATCAGGAGTTTTGGTTTGGTTATCGTTTACAAATACAGGTGAAACTCGAAAAATTAGAATATCCTGCAAAAGTTCATTTATTTCAGTAATGCAACGTAAAAGGTGAAACTAATATATGAGATAGACTCATTACATGCAAAGCAAGATAGTTCAAGCCGTGATTTGTCATAATGTGATGATTATGGCTTACAGCTCATGAAAACCCCAAATCCACAATCTCAGAAAATTAGAATATTGTGAAAAGGTGCAATATTCTCGGCTCAAAGTGTTCCACTCTAATCCGCAAATTAAGCCATAACACCTGCAAAGGGTTCCTGAGCCTTTAAATGGTCTCTCAGTCTGGTTCAGTAGGAATCACAATCATGGGAAAGACTGCCGACCTGACAGTTGTGCAGAAAACCATCATTGACACCCTCCATAAGGAGGGAAAGCCCCAAAAGGTAATTGCAAAAGAAGTTGGATGTTCCCAAAGTGCTGTATCAAAGCACATTAATAGAAAGTTATGTGGAAGGGAAAAGTGTGGAAGAAAAAAGGTGCATAAACAGCAGGGATGACCGCAGCCTGGAGAGGATTGTTAGGAAAAGGCCATTCAAAAGTGTTGGGGACTTTCACAAGGAGTGGACTGAGGCTGGAGTCAGTGCATCAAGAGCCACCACACACAGACGGATCCTGGACATGGGCTTCAAATGTCGTATTCCTCTTGTCAAGCCGCTCCTGAACAAACAACATCAGAAGCGTCTTACCTGGGCTAAAGAAAGACAGACCTGATCTGTTGCTCAGTGATCCAAAATCCTCTTTTCTGATGAGAGCAACTTTTGCATCTCATTTGGAAACCAAGGACCCAGAGTATGGAGGAAGAATGGAGAGGCACACACTGCAAGATGCTTGAAGTCCAGTGTGAAGTCTCCACAGTCTGTGTTGATTTGGGGAGCCATGTCATCTGCTGGTGTTGGTCCACTGTGCTTCATTAAGTCCAGGGTCAACGCAGCCGTCTACCAGGAGATTTTGGAGCACTTCATGCTTCCTTCTGCAGACGAGCTTTATGGGGATGCTGACTTCATTTTCCAGCAGGACTTGGCACCTGCCCACAAACTTTAAATCAACCAGCAAGCCAGTCTGAGGATGTTAAACTTGAAATAAGGGTTGTCACTTTAAACTATTCAGTCACTCACCTTTTTATAAAAGCTGATCACAACCCAGATATTTTATTCATCCTCATCGCAGGCTTTCAACAAAATTTGAAAAAGTCACCTGACACTTTTATATTAACCCCTTCATGCCTGGGTAAAACAAATCTAAATGCGGGTTGACAAAACCCAGAACTGTAATCCCAGGTGAATTATACCTTTTTTTCATCTTTTTTCCCTGATTATTTTCAAAAAAAACTGGCCCAAAATATATTTTTTTTTTTTAAATTTAGCTGTGCGTTTCTTGTTACTACTATAACCTACCACCAATGAACAACCCAAAATAAATTTTCCAGCTCTTGACGATCGCAGCAATACCATATATGTGTATGATATTTGTTGTTTGTACCCGTAGTACAGCCCAGAAAAAATAGTGCACATTTTGTTTTGTTTTTTTACCTAAATCACACGGACACTTTTTTTTTTTTTTTAAATCCTGACCTTTGACCCAGACCCAACAACTTACCCTGGCACTGAACTAGATGAAATCTTGATCTAGGTATTTTTTTAATATTTATCTTTTTTTTTAACAAACATTTTTCCCCTCTACGCCAGGAGTTAGAGAGATACTATGTATCTCTCTCC